ATTGGCACCACTAAACATTTCCAAAAAGCCTCTGTCATTTTCTCTTGTTCTGTAGTCCCCTCCCAACACCCCCGCCCCCTCCTCCCCCCCCCACTGGAGAATGATTCTTTTATTATTGATTTCCTTCCATGCAAAACAGCCTCTTCCAGTGGCCACTAAGAGCACACTGTATGTTTTCTTCATGGCAGAGCATGTAGATGATGATTGACCATTAGGCTCAATGGGGCCTTGAACATAGCTTGGTCCTTATCGAATGTACACACTCTGATGGTTACAAATAGGCATATTTTGGTTTTTTTGGTGATGTTTTAAAAACAAAATTACATGATTATATGTTGTGAAACTTTCAGAATTTAATTATTAAATCAGCGATCAGTTAACTGTTTGGGGCTGCTATAGCCAATATTACAAAATGACTAAATAGAGATAATTAACTAGAGATAACTTAATTTTTCCAAATGATTTTTAATTTGCAATGTTTCCCCTGTAACTTTAACAAATAGGTATTTCCCAGGTAAAGCATACTTTATTGAGGTCCATGTTAGACCTTCATTAGGTCTAGAGAGAGAGCCTTCCTTAGACCTGTCAGTTATCATTGCTTACCTAGCATAGCAGCAAGATGAAGTTCATTTGCAAGTGACGTTTTCAAAATGATGGTTCTTCTAAATAGAGCACAGTTATCCACCAAAGTTGTGAAAGATTGATCATATAATGACCCTCTTACTCTCTGATACATCTAAAAATATGTGGGGACCAATAGCATTTCTGTTAGTCTGATGGGAGTATTAGGTTAGAAGCTATGAGTGAATAAAGAGGGAGGAGGTGCTGTTCTACTCATAGTCCCAAGTATTAGTGCTCTGTGTAAAATGTGCCTTTATTATCTTCTTGACACATTGAAAGAGCTATCAGAGTAATTACATGTCCTTACACGTACGATGGTTATAAAATGTTTCTGAGATTGTGAAGTGTACAAATGGCACAGCCTGTCCCTCCCTATTTACCTGAAGACCTAATTCTAAGAAATGACTCCTGGTTACTATCAGTTAGGAGAGTGAAAATTGGATGTGACGTCTTTATTTCCATGGGAGACATTAAGTCTCTAAAAGACTTAACACAGCCATAGATATTTTTGAAGCTGTACTAAAGAAAGAAATTAAAAAAATTCTGAAAGATGGGTTTAAGTAAACATTTAATATTTTTAACTGTTTGTGCCATGCAAGAGTTTTGGTTATATATAGGTAAAATATTCCACATTTTTTTGGGGGGGAAAAAGTTTTTCTCTTTTATAAATATCATAGTATATACTTTAAAATGTTTTTCTGAGCTTGAATTTTAGAAATCTATTAAGCAATACATGAAATTGCAAATTATATTTTGATATTGTTTAAAAATATATTACTGTTTTTCTATTTATCAAGGTATAAGTCTTCATGTATCAATCAAAAGTAAATTACTTGTAAAGCTATAATAATTTTATATTTTATATATTTAGAATGACTCCTTAAAATAAAAACCTTTTCATTAAACTGTGATAAATGTTTTTAACATGAAAAAAATAAAGATTTGAGGTTTTAAATATTAGACCTTTTAGTTTTGTTTAAATAAGTGATGGGAATAACATCAGGCCTCTGACTGTTCAGACCTTTGGGCTTTTAACATTTGTTTGGTATATTTCTTTCTCAGCTTATTTTATATGAGGCATAACTTCTAAGGTCTCTTAGTTTTAAAATCCCCCAATTTTTGCTTTGATTCAATGAAAATACATGAGATATACATTGCCACGGTACTTCAGGTTAAAATAGTCGTAAGCTGTTTCTGTTAAGAGATGGAGGTTTAGACAGG